CCGCTACCCTCCCCAAGATGGAGCACAATCTGACATAGGCTTTACATTTACATACCCATGAAACATATTTTCACATTAATGAAGTTGTAAGTAGAAATTAAAACCAATAGGAGGAACCACCAGAAAGATGAAACAAAATTCAACTTAAGGTAAAATTAAGTGAGAGCGATTCGACTTCCATAGTTCTTTCTTTGGATGTGGACAGCATTTTCCATCCTGAGGCCTCTGGAGATGTCTTAGATCCTCGTAATGCTGATTAGGGTTCAGTTTAACATTCTTAGTCATTGCATAATGTGGCTGCTATTGTATACAAAGTCCTCTGGGTTCTGCTCACTTCACTCAGCATCAGACCATATAAGTCTTCCCAGGTTTTTCTGAAGTCAGCCTGTTCATCATTTCTTATAGAACAATAGTATTCCATTACATTCATATACCACAACTTGCTCAGCCATTCCCCAATTGATGGGCATCCTCTCAATTTCCAATTCTTTGCCACCACAAAAAGAGCTGTGATGAATATTTTTGTACATGTGGGTCCTTTTCCCATTTGTTTGATCTCTTTGGGATATAGCCCTAGATGTGCTATTGCTGGATCAAAGGGTATGCACATTTTTGTAGCCCTTTGGGCATAGTTCCAAATTGTTTTCCAAAATGGTTGGATCATTTCACAACTCCACCAACAATGTATTAGTGTTCCAATTTTCCCACATCCTCTCCAACATTTATCATTTTCCTGTTTTGTCATGTTGGCCAATCTGATAGGTGTGATGTGGTACCTCAGAGTTGTTTTGATTTGCATTTCTCTAATCAATAATGATTTAGAGCATTTTTTCATATGACTATAGATGGCTTTAATTTCTTCATCTGAGAACTGCCTGTTCATATCCTTTGACCATTTATCAATTGGGGAATGGGACAGCCCTGTTTTTCTAGGGCATGACCCTTGGTGCATCTACAGGCGATAGAAAACTGGGCTAACTTGGCCATAAGCCTGATTTAGTGTGGTGATGCCTTTGTTTCTGAGTGTGTACTTTTTAATGTATGTGCCTGTATCCCTCCCATGTAAGAGGAATCTAATAGAGAAAAAGAGCCTGAGCACTTTCCTAGTCTTCCTTTGCCCTGCCCGTTTAGGGCATACATGTTTAGGCTTGTACCTAGACATCGTGGCCACCTGTATTTAATCATGGCAGCTAGAGCCAAGACAGAGCAGAGTTTTTCCCTTCCCTTCGTGATGCTGTTAGTCTCATAGGCTTGTCTACCTATGCATAGTAGAAAGGGAAAAGGAAAGGGAATTAACATTTATTAAGTATTAGAATATTGTTAAGTATGTGCCAGGCACTTTACAAATGTTATTTCATTTGATCCTCACGACAATCCTGTGAGGTAGGTGCTATTATGATCCCCATTTTACAGATGAGGAAACTGAGGCAGACACAAGTTAAGTGACCTACCCAGGGTCACACAACTAGTAAGTGTCTGGGGCCAGATTTCAACTCTGGTCTTGTTAACTCCAAGCCCAGAGGTCTTTCCATTCTACCACCTAACTGCCTTTAGCTAGGAGGTGAAGAAAAAGTTCATTTTCAGCAACCTGAAAGCTGTTCTTGTCCAGAGCATACTTCAATATTCCATTGATCTGTGATTTCAGTCTAAGACTAGGTTTAAGTATTGTGGTTACTGAGTTCCATTCCAGGTATGGTCCAATACAGAGGAAAGAGCTCAGAGGCAAGGTTTCAAATTCCATCTCTGATGCTTATGACATTCTATGTGACCTATATTCTATATTCTATGTGACTGGGGGACTTAGGGTCAAAAAGACCCTTATTTGAATCCTGCCTCAGACATTACTGGTTTTGACCCTGGGTAGGTCACCTCACCTGTTTCCTCAACTATAAAATGGGGCTAATGATAGCATCTACCTCGCAAGATTGTTGTGAGAGTCAAATTAGATAACAAGTGTAGTAAAGTGCTTTGCAGACTTTAAAGTGTTGTATAAATGCAAGTTATAATGTATATTTTTTCCATCTTCGAACTTTAGCTTGTGGAGGAGGGCTTTGAGAAGTGTCCAGACATGTGGCTTCACTAGTGTAAGGAATTCTTGGGATAGAAAAAAAATCTCAATTAATGAAGACGGGCAAAGCTTTCTGTAATGAATTATTCTTAGCTTGTGGCAATGAGGACACGTATTAGTCTATCTACAAGCAATCAAAAAGCATTGATTAAGTGCTTACTATATGTCAGGCACTATGCTAAACTTTGGTGATACAAATGTAGCCCACATGGGCTCTGAGAAATCCTTAGCCTAAACTTTACTACCATTGATGAGTTAGATTCTCAGAGCATGACTACATCTCCCTCTCAGGGTTCTAGGGGTACCTCTGAGGAGGCAAGAGTGATTCTTTAATGCCATTGATTTGAGCCCCTATCAGTGTGGTTCCATTATCAGTTGAGAATTGTTTAGTTTGCCAGACTTAGATAGCTTTTAGAAAAGGAGATTTACCCAGGTGGTTCAATAATAATCGGTATAAAATATATCTCCAAATATCTGTGACACATTCTCCCACAAATACATGGAGTCCAGGGGAAAGTGGGCTCAAGCTAAGAAAGCACATCTAACAAAGGGGTAACTCACAGATCCTGGTTGTTTGAAGTCCTTTTCTCCCATTCACGAAGTGTTCATTTAGCTTCCTTATGCAATGAATCTGGATTTATCTGTCCTTGGCTGGTATGGGGATTCATCAAGGACATCAATGGAAAGAGGTCCAACATTTCCCAGACCCTACAAAACTTTCAAGGTCCTGCTCATACAAAGGATGGAGAAAGAGAAGTGGCCAAAGCCAAATCTGAAGCCCCTTCTTCCTGCTTTCCCTCCTAACCCCAGCTGATTCTTCCTCCAGGGTGTGCTAGAAAGCCACACTTGCTTTTCTGGAATGATTCCATTTCTCTAGCTGGTTAATTTATAGTGGTCAAGTTTCTTTGGCTTATTCAAACATTATTCTTGTGTAATGTCACCACAGTTTGAAGGACTATTCCCACACTTTGTCCAAAGCCTATGCTTGATGGATTGAACATCCTATATTTAGTGGGGCAGGGCAGAGTAAATCAATCACCCTATCTCTACACAAACACAGGCAAAAAACAGCCCCTGACCTCAAGGAGGGTACATTCTAATATTGAAATACCACATAAATAACTAGGTACATTCATACAAAGTAGATGAAGGTAATCTCAGAGGGAAATTTTTTCATAGCAACTGGAGGGACCCAAGAAATGTTACCTACAGAAAGTGAGATTTCAGTTGAGTCTTGAAGGATATGTGACTTGTTCATAGTCATACAGCCATGGTGTACCAGAGACAGGACACCCAGGTCTTCTTGACTCAAAGGCTTCCTCTCTATCCTATGCCATGATGCCTCTTTAGGGTTATCTAGGGCCAGCTGATTCTTAAAACATTATTTTTTTTTCTTTTAGGTTCATTACTTAATTGTATCTGTGTTTGTTTGAATTGCCCTCCTGCCTTCTGTACCATAAGTTAAACTCAGTAGTCTTTGGCCATCATATCAAACCAGAAGCATGAGGCAGTGGAAATAACCCTAGGTTTAGAGGCAGTGAATTTTAGTTCAAATCCCAGCCTCATTTCCAATTACAGCCATCAAGCAGCCCTACCTGCGTGATGTTGGATAAGTTGTTTATCGTCTCCAAGTCTCAGTTTCCTCCAGTGTAAAATTAGAGGTTTGGACTAAACGATCCTTAAAGTGTCCTCTATCTTTAAGTTTGTCATCCTATGATTAGCAGGCAGCAGAGCCCTCCTCCCTCTGCTCCCCATCCTTCTGCCTAAACTACTTCTAGTTCTGCCCCTGAGTTTCAGATCCAGATTAGGAAAGCCTGAAAACCTGGGTCAATATAGAGTTCTTGGCCCCAGTGAGGATGCAGCAGTCATGAACCAAACCATCTTCTGAATTCTTTAAAACCCGAACCACAGTCTTCAAATGAAATGGACTGCCACAGGCATGCAGTAAAGGGCTTAGAGGATCCTGCCAGTCTAACCATTTCCCTTCAGTTAATGTTGGTTTCAAACTAACCTAGTCCCTCATCTTAGCACTGTTCAAAGGATCTTTAATGTTTTAGCCCATCATCACCAAGGTTTGGGATTAGCCTTGATTTCTTCTTCCCATTGGATAACCTAAGACATAATACAGCTTCTCAGCAAAAGGCAAGTGAGTACAAGAGCATAAAAAAGCAAAGCCACAATCAGTAAGCCACTGTAGTTCCTATTTGGAGGGGGATTTCTCTTCTTAAGGAAAATCCTTTAAGAAATCTAATTTCTATCCCTTGACTTTCCCCCTGGAGTCAATCATGTTTCCTACAAAAGAATAAGCAAATTTCTTTCTCCTATTGATTTTCGTGGAAACATTCAGCTGAAGAAGCTATTTCTGTTTTGATGCCCTATTGGGTCAGATTTCATGATACATTATCAGACTGATAGCTGTATTGGTTGTAAAATGATACTGCTAAGGTCAAGGTCATGAGTTCGATCTCTGTGCCTTCCCAATAGCCTTGATCTGATTCAGAGCCATGTTTTTTATCTCCTGCCCCAGCTGGCTACCTCACAAATGGATCATGTAGAGTTGGAAGAGTGGGGATGGCTCACTGCCACACCTCAGCCCTACTGGAAAACAACTCATAGCAAATACACTTACTACTTGTTGACTGTCCAGTAGTTTCAGCTTGGAATATAAAGAATGTTACTAGTCTGAAAGAGAGAACAATGCCTGAGAGAGATTCTTAGGGTTTTATGCCATATGTGGACTCTGTCAAAATGCTTTTGAACATACTTCACCTCTTATGCGATCCAGCCAGTCCGGGATGAAACTGAAACAACTTTTTCCCATTGACCTACTTGAGGAGGAGGTAACATGCATTCAACCTGGATAACTAAGTGGTGATTTTTGCCCCTGTACCCCTATCGCCAGTGAACTATCCTTGTTTTTCCTCTCTTACAGTGAAAGTTTGGAACATTTATCACATCCTGAGTATTTGTGGAGGAGTGATAATCCTGTTAATCTTCTTGACTCTGGCCATTTCCTGTTTCCTGAGGAGGAAAAAACAAAAAAAGAAGCCAAATGGTAAGTTGTTGTTCGGTCCTACTGCTGAACACCTGCTTGGGCTAGCAGGCTCACCGTGGTGAAAAGAGATGATGAAGAAAGATTAGGGAGCTGGGCAACTTGGACTGGTGGGGCTGGCAACCTGTGGATGTGCAAGACAGTTTGCAGTTTGCTTAATTGTGAAAATTAAGTACTTATGAGTGGTAATGGGGCAGATTAAAAAAAAAATGAGTTCAAATGAGCCCCAGAATAGGAAATGACTTGCTTCTCCTCCTAGGCATAGAGAAAAGTTGCATGAAGATTAAAACTTTTTTTAAAAACATCTTTACTTTTTAAATTGAATTTTATTTTTAGTTCTGAGTATTCTGTCCAATTTTTCTTCTCCTCCACCCATTGAGAATATTAAAAAAACCCAAGCTTGTTGCAAATATGTTTAGACGAGCAAAACAAATTCCTGCATGTTATATCCAAAAAAGAAAGCAAGAAAAGAAAAGAAAGGAAAAAGGAAATATGCTTCAATCTGCAGGATTAAACGAGATTATGTTTCTAAAGCACTTAGCAGGGTGCCTAGTATGTAGCAGGCATTGAAATGCTTATTGCTTCCTCTTCCCTTCCCTGAATTCTGAGTCCATTAGCTGTCTGTCAGGAGATGGATAGCATGTTTCATCATGAGTACTCCTGAATAGTGGTTAGTCATTGTATCAATGAGAGTAAGATTTTGCATGTCATAGATTCTAATGGTAGCAGAGAGTATCAGAGGGATTTTTTCCCTACATACTCCAAAAGGTAGGTTGGCTTCAGTTCCACCTTGGCATAAAGGTTCTGGTCAGCTCTGCCCCTTGCTGAATCTCCTTGCCATCTCAGGCCAGTCAAAATGTGCATTGTTGGTGGCTGCAGTTTTATAATAAACTGCAACTTTGATTCATTCTTTCATTTATTGATTTAAAAATATGTAAAGTCACTTTTATGAGTAATATGCCATGCTGGGTACTAAAGGAGATACAAAAATAAATAAGATGTAGTGTTTTGTGCTTGAGTAGCTTATGATCATGGCGGGGGTGGGTGGGTAATAAGTCACTTACTGATATGTATGATGAAAATAAGTACATAAGAAAACACTGAGCACTATGAGATTGGATGAGGTAAAGACTGCTTCTGTTTAGGAGACTTGGCGAAGGCTTCCTGAAAGAAATGGCATTTGAATTGGGCTTTGAACATGGGTAGGATAACAACAGGTGTAGGTATAAGGAGGGAACATTCCAGACAGAGATAATGACAGCATAAACAGAAACATAGAGGTGGGAAGGCCTGGGGCATGTTTGGAGCATGGTGAACAGCCTGGTTTCATTGGATTGTAGAGTGCTGGAAGGTAGAGAATTGGGAAAGAAGACTGGAAGGGTTGACTGGGGTCAGCTCTGAATGCCAGACTTTGTACAATCCTTTACGGATCGAGCCTTAAGTATGTAGAGAAACTAGTCCCCAGAGACATATTTCTTTCCCCTTGCCATACTTTTTGCCTCAGTTAATTCATCAGCTTTGATAAGTTCAACTATCATTTCTATGTAGATAGCTCCCAAATCTATATATCCAGTCACGGCCTCTATCCTGTGTCCTATGGAAGTGATTTCCTGTTGGGCGTCTCCAATGAGATGTCTGATTCAGTTGTTGTCGTTCAGTCATTTTTCAGTTGTGTCCAACCCTTCATGACCCCATCTGGGGTTTTCTTGGCAAAGATATTGGAGTGGTTTGTCATTTCCTTCCCCAGTTCATTTTACAGATGAGGAAACGGAGGCAAACAAAGTTAAGCGACTTGCCCAGGGTCACACAGCTAGCAAGTATCTGAGGCTGGATTTGAATTCAGATCCTCCTAACTCCAGACTCAGCACCCTATCTGCTGTGACATCTAGCTGCTCTGGATGTCTTGTAGGCATTTTCCATTTTCAATTCAACATGTCCAAAGAATTCATTATCTTCCCCCTTCAGCCTACACATCCTCCAAGTTTCTCTATTTCTGTTAAGGATATTACAGTCCTTTCAGTCACCCATGTTCAGTTCACCCTTCACTTTTCATCACCTGCTGTACACCATCTTTTTTCAAGTCTTGTGGATTCTGCCTTCACAACATGTCTTGCTTCTGTCCTTTTCTGTCCACTCACAGGACTACTAGCCTAATTCAGATCCCCATTACCTCCCACTTAGATTTTCTTAATTTATCTCAGTCCCCTGAGTATCTCCCTTCTCGAATTCATCTTCCCCACTATTACCAAAGTAATCTCATGAAACTCAAGTAACAACAACAACCACCAGCATTTATGTCATTTGGTCCTCACAACAACTCTGGAAAGTAGGTGCTATTTTTATTCCCATTTTATAGCGGAGGAAACTGAGGTAAACAGAAGCTAAGTGACTTGGCCAGAGTTACATAGCTAGTAAGTGTCTGAGGCCAGATTTGAAGTTTACACTTTAAAATTTGCAAAGCGCTTTATATATGTTTATCTCACAATAACCGTACGAAGTGGGAGTTACGATTCTCATTTTATAGATGAGGAAACAGGCTGATGGAGGTGAGGTAATTTGCCTAGGGTCACATAGCTAGTAAAAGTCTAAGCCAAACTCAGGTCCTGCTGACTATAGAGTCCAGAATTCTATGCACTGGGCCATCTACCTGAGCAGAGTCCCCTTTCAAAAACAGGGCTTCACGTACAAAATACAAACCCTTCATCTTATCGTTTAAAGTCCTTCATGATTTGGATTTAGTCCACCTTATTGCATGTTACTCCCCTTCCCATACTCTACATTTTAGCCAAACTGCCTGCTAGCTGGTCCCCAGATTTGGTATCCCATCTGTCACTTCTACGCCTGGAATGCATTCATTCCTTCCTCACACCTCTATCTTCCAACCCTTTGTCCCCTCCAAGGCTCAGCTCATATGATATCTCTGATGAGAAACCTTTCCTGGGTCCCCCAGCTGTCATTGCTCTGTTCCTCCTCAAATTTTCTTGCATTTATTTATCTGGGTACATGTTGTACACCCCCAGTAGAAGGCAAGCACCTTAAGGGCAGGGACCATTTTTTTCCTTTTGAGCCAAGGAGGCTTACAATATATGCAGTGATGAAATGATGATGTGATGAAATTAATTAATAAAAATATTATTGTCTATTATGAGCAAGGTGCTATGCTAAAAGCTAGAGCTATAAATACAAAAAGTGAGTCATTGACCTCAATAAGTTTGCATTCTAATAGGAGGAGACAGCATAATACATACAAATATATATATGTGTGTGTGTGTTAATATATACACATACATACAAACATTTCCACATGTATACAATACATCCATATACACATGTATGTGTGCACATATAAATTTACGTAGGTATGTATGTATGTAAAGGAACAGGAATTTTAATTTTGAGTCACAGGGATGGTGAGCTGATATATAGGACAGTCAATTGACACACCGTTACTAGAAGTAATAGTAGTTTTGATTTAATTTCTTTAGTTAGAGCTAGAGGTAAAAAAAAAAAAAAGGACGGGGGAAGGGTTGTTGCTCTCTTGTGATCAACTCTTCATGATCCAACTTAAGATTTTCTTGGCAAAGATACTAGAATGGTTTATTTCCTTCTCTGGCTCATTTTACAGATGAGGAAACTGAGGCAAACAGGGTTATATGACTTGCCCAGGATCACACAGCTAGTAAATGTCTGTGGCTGGATATGAACTCAACTCTTTCTGACTCCAGGCCCTCTCTATCCACTGCAGCACCCATCTATCTACCCAGCAGGGAGGAGTTCAGCAGGGCAAAGGGCAAGAGGAGAATCATGACGGGTTGTGTGAATCATGGTCTGGTCTGGATCTGGCTAGATATCATAAGCTATGGAAGCTTGTGCTCAGTAACCAATCAAAACCGCTCATCCCTAAATGTATACAAATGACTATAATAAAAATTGAAATATAGGAACATAAAATATGTTAGAGGTTGCTCTGAGCTCAGATCACAGAGAGAGCTTTTCCAGCTTTGGCTGGGGCAAGGGGAGGGTTCAGGGAAACTTCCGTGAATGAAGTGGCGTTTGATGGGAGCCCTAGAAGAATGAAGATTTAAAGGGAGAAGGAAAGAAGAGGAATATATGAGCCAAGAGGGCAGGAAAGCTTGGGACAGTGTTCAGGGAACAGTAAATTATCCATTTTTTTTTCTGCTGCTCAGAGTACAAGGGACAAGAGAAGAGAGAGCATGAGATAATTCTGGAAAGGTAGGAGGTGGTGAATTTCTGTGTCTGGAAGGCTAGACTAGGCAGAAAACCATGAACCTTGATGTTTTCCCAACTTATATTCCCTTTGCTACCTCCAGATTTTGCCACTGTTCCCCATATTCCTGAAATAATCTCTTCCATATAACCCCCACCTTTCTGTCTGCTGATATACTTCTCTTTCTTTAAGGCAGAGTTTCCGAATTTGGAATCTACAGACCCCTTCCCCACCAAAGGAGTCCCTCAGTAGATTTCAGGGGGGGTACATGAATTTGGATGGGGAAAATTACATCTTTTATTTTTACTGACTTCTAATTGAAATTGAGCATTTCCTTCCATTATTTAAAAAGATGATTCTGAGAAAGGGTCCGTATCCTTTATCAGACTACCAAGGGGCTCCAAGCCAGAAGAAAGGGTAAGTATCCCTACTTTAAGGAGTCTTCCTCCATGAAGCCTTCTCTTATCTCTCCTCCCTGCTTGAAGCTACTATGCTACTTTAACTGGACCTCTCCTGTTTACTCTGTGAATTCCCAGAATGCTAGAGGATTTAGAGCTAGAAGGGCCTTTAGAGACTACACATGGGAAGCCCTTCATTTTTTACATGGAGAGACCCAGAAAGAAGTGAATCGCCAAAGATCACATAAGGAGTAAAGAGTAGTATCTCCTTTTATTGAAGGTCTTCAAACAAGAACAGGATAACCACTGGTTAGAGATGGTGTAGGGGGGATTCTTCAGGATTATAGATCTACAACAATGATGTCAAACTCAAATAG